TACCCAAGAAATTGGATCAAATAAAAGAAACGTTTCTGTATCGTCCAAACACTTTACAAAGAGAAACACAAACAAAAGTTAACAATGAGAGTAAAGAAAGTTTCAAAAGTGTTGATGTTGAAGAGATAAAGTTTCCTTCTAATTATTATAATGAACGACTTGATGTGCAACAAGAAGGACAAGTAGACGGCAAACAACAACTGCAAAACACACAAATAAACGAAAAGGTCCAAATGCAATGGTCTCAAAAATTGAATGAAAAAGAAGACCAAAAAGGTGTGCAACAAAAAGATGCAAAATTGAATGAAGTGCATCGAAACACACAAATTGATTTTGAACTGCAAAGCCAAGTGCAACAAAGTGCCCAAAATACGCAACAGCAAAATACGGTCGTAATCAATCAAACGAGGAACACATTTAATGGAAACGCAAATCAAAATACACGAGAAACGTTTAAAGTACAACAAACTGCAGATTTGGGAAATTTTAATGTTCAAAATCACATTGAAAAGAATTTACAAGAAGGAATGAGAATGAATAATGGTATTTATAATTATAATAATAATATAATAACAAAAATGGAGGAACCAATGCCACTTTTACAGGAACAACAACAGAATAATGGACAAATGATTAATGCACAAGAATTTACTACTTTTAACAACTTCAGTGGAATACAACAACAACAACAACAACAACAACAACAACAATATCAACAAAATCAAATGCAACAACAACCACAAAAGACAGCATATTCAAGTCTTACACTTCATATCGATAATTTGAATGAAATAAGAAATGATAAATACAATTTGTATGACTCAAATGGCTTAGGAATGGAATTTCAAAATGTCAATAGGAATACTTGTATAACACAAGACGATCAACACGTCGATATTTCAAATATTTTAAATGTGTCAAATCAAATGGAGGTCATCCCAAACAACAACATGGAAGAAGAAGATGTCAATGAAGACCCGAAACAAATGCAAATGGACAATAAAATCAATATTTTTGAGTTTGATCCGACACTGCAACAAATTTATGAAGAACACAAAGATGACCCGATATTACAATCGATGTTGGATGGTACAATTCCTCTTCCGAATGCAATAGAGCCGATACCAATTGAGTCCAATTCGTCAATGATCACATTGAAATTTATCGAACCGGTTCAATCGGGAACAACAGGGGATGTGCAAACAACACTGCTGAATGGTTTACGAATTATCGATCTTGGGAAGTCGTGCAAACAATCAAATGAACGCCAAAGTATAAAAATGTTCAACGACGTGCAAATTATACGAGACGAAAAGAATGAATTTAACACGAGTGTTCCATATTTTGAAATGAAAGATGTAGACCCGAATAAGCCGAATATCTCACTAAGTTTAATGGAGTTTATTGGATACTTTGAAAGCTTGAAAGGGATCATGCCTCCAGTTGTTGGAGGGGAAGAATGGCCTACTCGAAATCAGGAGGGGACAACTGGATATGATGAGATAAGTGATATGTATGATGATACATGGGAAGATGAACTGA